GTGGGATAAAACAACCCAAAATCATGAGATTGCCCTTATAATACCTGACAGCTTATTATACCATGCAGCTGTCATATAGGTTCCACTGAGACCATTTCATTGAAAGTGTGGGGTGGTGTGGGGAGGATGAATATGGAGCCTCCTGATGATAGGCTGAGAGTCTCAGATGTCCATCGAGCCCTATAGAAGTGGTTAGCCTAGCCTGGCCTCAGCCAACCTCACAAGTGTAAGCTTGTTTTCACAAGTGTGAAAACTTTAGACATTGATTTCTGTGGTTTTCTGTCCATAGTTAATGGCAAAGCAACATGGCATGCTTAGCTATCTGGTCTTCACATTATTCCTCATTTTCTCACCTAGCAGGACTAGTCTATGAGCTTGTACAAGATGCACAGGCTAGAGAACTTACAAATTTGGGAACATGGGACTGAATTCATAGTTGCTAAATTAGAAAGAGACATGATTTGAGTCCACTGAAGATGGCCTCAGCTGTTCTTTCTGTGTGATGGAGGAATTTATGATCATCAGATCATTTCGTCTGACTTTGGGTAAACATGCAACAGTCATTTTCTAAAATATGTATTTTTTATTGTTATTGTCAAGCTGATGCTCAGAGAGGTTACAGTTACATAAGTCAGGTAATGAGTACATTGCTTTTTGAATAGTGTCACCCTTTCCCTCACTTTGTCCCAGTTTTTCCCTCCCAACCCCTTCCCTGCAAGTTGCACAGTTCATTTTCAATGTAGTATCTAATGAGTATCACTGCTGCATGGTTCACCCTTTGCCCCACCCTTTTTGTGTTCCACTTACCCTCCCCAAAACAGATAACCTTACAAATAGGACAAAAGGTACAGCCCCCCCAAAAAACTAAACAGCAATATAGAAAACAAACCTCTTGTTTCCATTTCTTGGAGGTCATTTCAATAAGCATCATTTATATGATCATATGCACATATCTATTGAACCCTTGTGATGCTCTCCTAATAATATTCCTCCTTTGTTCTCACTGTGTGAATGTTTAGAGTCATGTTTAATTTATTATGTCCAAGTGTAATTTTTTGTCTCTTACTATCCATTGGGTTTACTTGTAGATTTATAGGCACATTTTAATGATCATAAATGAGGGAAAACCTTCAACCTATGTTTCTTTGGGACTGGCTTACTTCACTTAATATATTTTTCCCATGTTTTTCCATTTCCTTACTAATGGGGAAATGTCATTCTTTCTGATGGACACATAGGATTCCATTGTGTATGTATACATTTTCTTGATCCATTCATCCACTAAGGGACATCTGGATTAGTTCTATATCTTAGCTATGGTATTCACTGCTGCAGTAAACATGGTTGTGCTGGTGGCTTTAGTGTGGCCCGATTTGTGGTCAATTGGATAAATGCCCAGAAGTGGCATAAAGAAGCTCTGTGTTTACTCTTTTGAGTAACCTCCATACTGCTTTCCAGAGTGGTTGAACAAGTTTACACTTCTACCAATGAAGGCTAGATCCCTGCCAGCATCTGTTATACTTTTCTTGATAATGGCCATTTTAGTTGGAGTGAGGTGGAATCTCAATGCTTTGATTTGCATTTCTTTTATTGTGAAAATAGTGTACAGGGGGGGTTACAATTACATGGGCAAGATAACGAGTACATTTCTTATCAAGCATTGTAGCCTCCTCCTTTGTTTCCCCTTCCCATCCCATCCTCCCCCCACCCCCCTCATCCTCCTCCTCCCCCTGCCCCCCTCCCCTCCCCCCCCACCAAAGTTGTAAAGTTTGTTTTCAACGTAAGGACTTGTACATCTCATTGTTGCAATGGGTCCACCTGTATTCCTATTCAAACGACTTGTTTTTTCCCTCCCCCTCCACAAATTATACCAACATCAAATATAGTGAAAGCAGGGGTTATACCATGAGGGAGGGACATACAAAGCAATAAAGAAATAATCTTATAAATGTGTTAGAAACAATCGCATGAAAGAAAAAAAAACATTTGAGTACATATCTTAGGGTTCATTTCCCTAACATCAACTTATCTGACCTTTTCTGCTTGACTCAGATATATACTAGTTATTGCAAATAAGGGAAACCATGGGACCTATGTTTCTTTGGGCCGGGCTTACTTCACTTAATATAATTTTTTCCAAGTCTTTCCATTTACTAACAAATGGGCAATGTCATTCTTTCTGAGGCATAGAATTCCATTGTGTATATATACCATATTTTCTTGATCCATTCTGAGGGGCATCTGGGTTGGTTCCATATCTTAGCTATGGTAAATAATGCTGCAATAAACGTAGTTGTGCTGGTAGCTTTAGTATGGTCTTGTTTGTGATCATTTGGGCAAATGCCCAAAAGTGGAATTGCTGAGTCATAGAGGAGCTCTATGTGGAGTCTTTTGAGGAACCTCCATGATTTGCATTTCTTTTATGGCATCAGATGTTGAACATCTCTTAATATAGCTATTGGCCATTTCTACCTCTTCTTCTGAGAAGTCTCTCTTTAAGTCTTTACCCATTATTAATTGGGTTGTTGTTTTACTGAGGATTTGTTTGGGAGCATTTAATTTTTTTCTTTTAATTCTTTTGTTATATATGTTTTTATTGTAGAAATACTGTACAGAGGGGTTACAGTTACATGAGGAAGGCAATGAGTACATTTCCTATCAATCATTGTTATCTCCTCCTTTGTTTTTCTCCTACCATCCATTCCCTCCCCAACTCCCCCCCCCCAAAAGTTGTAAAGTTCATTTTCAACATAGTGTCTTGTACATCTCATTGTTACAATGGGTCAACCTGTGTCCTTATTTCAGCATTTTGTTATTTCCCTTCCCCTCCCCAAATTAGAAAAATGTATATCCAAGATTCAGGGCACTGACATCAAATACAGTGAAAACAGGGGTTATACCGTGGGGGAAGAACATACTAAAGAAACAAAAAAAATCACCTAGTACATTTTAAATATGCTAAAAAGACTAGCAAGAAAGAAAAAAAAACAGTTGTGTCCCTATCTTGGGGTACATTTCACTTGACATCATCTTATATGGTCATATGTGCATAGCTTTTGACCTTTTCTACTTATACTAGACTTATACTACTTATTGCAAATAAGGGAAACCATGGAACCTATGTTTCTTTGGGCCTGGCTTACTTCATTTAATACAATTTTTTTCCAGGTCTTTCCATTTCCTAACAAATGGAGTGATGTCATTCTTTCTGATAGAGGCATAATTTTTTGAGCTCTAAGTATATTTTAGATATTAGACCCTTGTCTGATGCAGTAAAGTTCTTCCATTCTATGGGGTTTCTATTTATCTTGCTAGCCATGTCCTTTGCCCATGCAGAAGCTCTGCAGTGTGATGCAATCTTATTTTCCAGTCTTTCTTTGATTTGTTGTGATTCAGGATCTTCACTTAGGAAATTCTGAACTATATCTAGGATCACAAGTGTTTCCCCTACTGCTTCCTGTAATATTTTCATGGCATCTGGCACCTGCTTTACAGTGCAGGGTACAGTCATTTCTTGAGTACCATACACAGAGATTTCCTTCCCTCAATACATTATATGCTAGTCTCATCACAAACTTGCAAGTGCTGGACTGTTTCTCATTCTAGGTGTCTGTTCAACACCAACGCTGATACTCGTTCCAGCTTTAGAAAACATAGGTATAAAATTCCAAGAAGTGGGAATGCAAATGAGTGTAGCGGTGGCTTCCAGAGGGAGCTGAGGGAGAATTACATAACTAGACAGAATAGGGATTTTAATTCAAGGTGAGAATCTTGAGGTTGAGAAAGATCAAGAGCAGGACAAGCTGGGCCTTTGCAGAAGGCACCAACTAGACAAGAGACTAAACCATCCTTTGGAGAAAGTCAGGGGAAGAATAGTATAGTGTCAATTGGCTCAGGCTTCTGCAGGAAAGCTGAAGTGGTAAAATGTATGCCAATTATTCTCTGTGTGGTGAAGTACTACTTTTAAAATAAAATTCCTTTATTCTGGAGTCTGTTTCTACTGTACATTTTTGTGGCTGTATATGCAGTCTTTGTGCAAGCTTTAAAGCTGGCCCTGCAAACCAGGTGCTGAGGGTGGCTGAGGAAGACTCAAAGAGCAGCAGCTATCAGCCATGGTTTTAGAATTTCACAGTCACAGTGCTGAACCAAAAAGATGTCAGAAAGTGCTGATTTTAAAAACATTAATTTGGTGAAGCCAGTTCATGCTCTCAGGGATGTTGTGGTTCCTGCCTCTTCTATGCTCCTCTCAGCACCGTCATTAGGACAAACAGCACAGAAATAATAAAGCATGGCTTCCATCCAGCTTCTCTGCCTTCTAGAACAGAGAAGAACCAAGAATTATGGGAGGCTATGGAAAGATAAATGCTCCATTAAACAGAAAAGCTGAATCCAAGGTAAATTAGTGACACAGTTTGAATATGAGATATTTCCCTGGAAGGCCCAAGTGTTAAAGACTTGGTCCACAGTCTATAGATCCAATTGTGGAGAGATGATTAAATCATGAAGACTTTGATCCAATTAATGGGTTAATCCATTGATGGATTTAAATTTAAAGATATTAGTGAGAGATGATGGAAACTAGGAGGTGTGGCCTGGCTGGAAGAAGTAGGTCACTGAGTATACGTTGTTCCTAGCTACTTCCTGGTCTCTCTGCTTCTTAGCTGCCATGTAGTGAGCAGCTTTCCTTTTCTGGGCCATCCTACCATGATATTAAGTCCTTTCCCATGAGCTTTAAAGAAATAGAGTCAGCCAACCATGGTCTGAGACCCTTGAATATGTGAGTCAAAATAAATTTTTCTCTTCTAAGTTGGCTTTTCTTGAGGTATGTAGGCACAGCAATAAAAAGCTAATTAATACAAATAGGCTTCAGATAATGACAGATATTTCTCAGACTTCCTCATACCAGTTGTCTTTTGCAGGGCCTGACATGCAATGTAAGAACCAAGGGCTGGAAAGGCTGTCAAGTCTGACCTTGCCCTGGGTGCACTCTTCTTTTTCAGGCAGCACTCAGGCACGAGGATGGTGATGAGACTGCAGAACCACCCCCCAGCGGACACCGGGATCGGAGGAGGGCCAGCGTGTGTTCCAGTGGCAGTGGAGGTGAACATCAACACCTTGACCGCAGAAGGAGTCGTAGACACTCAATACAGAATGTCAAGAGCTCGCTGTCAGCTCCCACCAGTCCTTCTTCCCAGCTGGATCCTACCTTCAAGCCCAGTCAAGTGCGAGATCTCTGTGAAAAGTAAGCATAAATCCAGTGGTGGAGAAGGGTGCCAAGGCATACTGAAAAGGGGGAAGGAGATCACCAGTGCCCAGCATCATTCCCTTCCCATGGACAGTCAGCATCCCCTGGCCTTGCTTCCTGCCTATTCTCTACCATTAAATCACCACTCCTAGAGAACTTTCCAGACAAGATGGCCCTGGTAGCATACACAGATTCAGACTTCCTAACATTTGACTTCATCTTCAGCCACCTGTGGTTTTGTACTATTCAATATATCAGTAAAATCCATTCAGAAAAGCTGTTTTATGAAATGGCAAAGAATCCAAAACACAAAACTGAGGCCTGAAATAATTGGTAGGCTACCATAGAAATGTGAGATTCATTGACCTACATGTGATAATACATGAAATTGGATTTAATGACATAGAATAAACCGGTGTAGACTTAAAAGCATCCCTTCATATTTCAGCTACAATTCCATCATTTAGTCTTTCAATGTACATTTATTAATGGCCATTATAGGGCAGGACTATTGAAAGACATGAAGGTAGATAAGTTGACAAGGTGTGATTTTCATCTTTATGAACCTTCCCATCTAGGCTGAGAGAAAGATACATAGGAAGAAAAAGAGAGTTTTGCAGTCCTAGGAGAAATTATATAGGTTCAGAATAGGACATTTGACCCAATTTATGGAAGCCTCGAAGGGTTCTGAAAAATTCAGGTGCAGCAAAAGGCTGGCTAGGCCACTCTGGGGTCTGGGTCTTGTCTGCTCCAAAGTGCATCCCATCATTTTACTGGGATGATGGGCTTCGAGGACTAGGCCATACCACTCAGTCCATACAGGCTGATCACCCACTTACTTCTTGTTGTGCGAAGATGCAATCAGTACTACAGGGATTGGCTGGAACATTCTTCTCCATCACAGGAGAATTCCTGAGAGTCAGATAGAGATCACTTGAATGTACAATAAAGATGGTAATGACTCAGAATAGTTGGGTAATTTTGAGAAAAGTCATCTATCAAGATGTGTCCTTCGCTGTTGCTGTGGAACTAAAACTCTTCCATCTCTATTACCAAAGGGTATCATGCCCAAGCAGCCTGGCAGCCATGGAATCACATGGGCATCATAAGCCTATGCCTTTGGGCATTGGGTACTCAAGAAGGCAAAAAGATGGTAAAGTCTGAGAGCTTTATAACATGTCTTTCTACTTCATAGACATGGGGGCTGTCCAGCTACTGGTGTTTCTGTTCCTGAGAATATTTGCTAAGATTTCTTTGTGATCTAAAATCTTGAAGACACTCAGCCAGAGCTCAAATCAAAGACATTTGGAGTTCTCTTCTAGTACTTTTGCTAGGTGATAGCTCAAGAATGAACATGGATTGAGGGGTTGAGGACAATGTATGTAATGGACAAAATAAGTAAAGATGACTTCACCGTCTTTGGTGTTAACTTATTTGTTCCTCTTTCTTTTGCATTTAGGTGACAATACTGTGTGATAAGTTGACAAGTGTGCCAGCAATAGAGGAGACCATTTGTGGCACAGTTCACATTCTCTTAGTTTTGGGCTCAGTGGGAATTGTACAGAAGATCCGGACACATTACTCTGAATGTTTCTGCTTTCACTCGTTTAAACAGGGTGAAATTTACATTTTAATGAAATTATTGCTCTAACATAAATTTAGTAATATTTGAGAAAAATACACTTTCTGGTTTATAGAAATGGAAAACATTTTACAGTCTGGTGATGATGACATGACATCATCCACAAAACCTGTTAGAGAAGGGCTTTACCTATGACCCCAAAGTGACAGTACGGTTTTGGCCAAGGTGAGAGTAAGGTTGAGAGAAAGAGGGTTTGAAAAGCTATTCTACTTAGTAATATTGGTGCCTTCAAGTTAAGTAGCCCATCATGTGCCATCCCCCGTAGATCTAGAAAGGTACAGTCTGCCTGACGTAGGCCACTCTGTTTGTGAAAGTCCTGGTGCATTGATTGCTCATTTGTAGTGACATGCCTCCAGATGCCCACATATAAGGAATGTGAGGCTGGATTTTTATCATTCTGTACCCCAGGTGATGCCAAGATGTTTGAGAAGAAGGTAGAAAAATGTGTGCGGTCAGGAAAGAATTCATGTTGTCTAAAAATGTACGCTGTTTTCTCCACTGAAGTTCTTCTGGATCATTTGGATTTTGACAATAATCCTCTGTCAAATCCTGGCAGGACAACCATTATTGTCCCCTTTAGTGTACAAGTGAAGAAACAATCAGGGGAGCAGCCTGGCTGGATCTAGGGGGTGGCTGAGCTGTGGGTAGCCCCAAATATGTGACCCTTGTGAATCAGTGTTCAGCCAGTAGAAAACGACTTCCCAGTTAACTACTCTTAAGCATATGTATTGAATCAGATTCATCCTTGTGACTTTGAAGAGAGAGAATTTGGTTTACTATGCAGATACATTTTTATTCAAGTGAATACAAAAATTCAGAGAGAATTGAGGCATATATCTCAAAAGTATCCCTATAGACATTCGCTGACTAGGCTATGTGCTGTCATTCTGGTTACAGCTACTAAGATAAAACTCAACACTCCTGTGCTTTGGTTTCTTAAGAAATAGAATTCTATACTATGCATTAGTTACCTAAAAGGTGTCATTGTGTGACTCTGTGTGTGTACCATAATAAGTTTCATCTTTGTGCTTAAAATTTACAAATTTGATTGAAAGGAAGAAAAGGGATACTTTCATTCATTACTGAGGAAATTATTTGGGGCTGTCTAATTAACAATAACAACAAATAAAGCCATGTCTGTTTTAAGCTACATTCAATCTTGGTACTAAAAGGTGTTTAAATCTTATCCCAAAGCAAGAGCCAAGAGATGGGTATAGTTCTATACTTGGGCTCTGTCTTTCCTGAGAAACCCAGTTCTATTCATATACTTTGTGCTTGTTAGGAAACCTTTTATTCAATTGTGCCTCTCCCCAGTGTTTCCTTGTTTATATATCTATCTATCTAGCTAGCTAGCTAGCTAGCTATCTGTATATATATACATATATATGCATATATATATATATATATATATATATATAATGTGTGTGTGTGTGTGTGTGTGTGTGTGTGTGTGTTGATACTGGGGCTTGAACTGAGAGTCTTGCAATCTTGCTTGGCTTTTTTGCTCAAGGCTAGCATTCCATCACTTGAGCCATATATCCAACTTCTGGCTTTTTTCTGGTTAATTGGAAATAAGAGTCTCATGGACTTTCCTGACCAGGCAGGCTTTGAATCTTGATCCTCAGATCTTAGCTTGCTAAGTGGCTAGGACTTGTAGTGAGCCATCAGCTTTGTTCTAAGAAATTGTTTGAAGTCCAATTCTAGATCAAAGAACACTTATATTTTAAATATTGACATCAGCCCACTTTTCCATAAAAAGGATATACCAGTTTATCCCACCACTAACCTGTCCTTGGCCATTTTCCCACTCCATTACTAGCCCTGATTATTATCAGTTTTTCAGACTGTTTGTAATGATTCAAGGTGACATGTGGTGACTTGGGACTTTGATTTGAATTTTGTGATAATTACTAATTATCTTGAAGGCTTCAATGAAGGAAAAGCTATTGATACTTTCTTCTCTATTTCCTGCTTGGACTTTGCTCACTCATCTCCCACATGGCTTGCCTGATTTAATTAATGTAAAACTACAGTTTGGTTTTTGTATGGAAATTTTTAAGTGTACCACTTACTGATTTTTTTTGATCCTGAAATAATCATATTTATTTGCTTTATTTTTCTCTCAAATGGGTGCCAAAGATAGTTTCTTAAAATGTGAGAGCAATAACAGCAAGACGGAAAAAAGCTTTCAGTTAGTAATAACTAACCCACCATCCCTGTGGAGGTGGAGGAAGGGAGGTATATAGAACAGAAACTTGCTTAGAAGGAGGCCACCGTTGACTGTCAATGACTGGAGGCTGAGGAGGAGCCAGAGACCTAAGCTGTCTTTGCATTTTTGGAGCTCACAGCTGGTATACACCAATTAGTGGCCCAGTGGGTGGTAGGATAACGGAAGCCAAGCCTTGGGGCTGAGCCTGTGGACTGAGCTGCAGGGAGGCAATTGAAGGGATGTTGTTCTCTATATTACTGCAAGAGTGGGGAAAGGTGTTGGAATCTTTCCACAAGCCAGAGGAAGTTGTGGGCCTAATTATGACACTGGGTAGGTGAGCTCATTTTCCCTTATTTTGACAAGAAGGAGATGTGTTTTGGATGCCTAAGTTCTGGGATCGACAGAGTTTGGTTGCTAGGGTTACAGAATTCATCTGCTGTAGACCTACAGGGTAGGTAGTAGAGAAGCCTTTTCTCTTTCTTGGAAGCAATTGGCAATAAAAAAAAAAACCATTTTCAAAGAAAAAAGTTATCAGACAAGTAGGTATTATATAATGATAGCCTATACTATTTGTGACTGGAGTGACCTGCTTTGTATGGCTCCTGCCACATGCAGTAAGAGGCAGCTGTGAAGATTGAGAGAGGCAGTGTGGTTCTCAGGCCTGACTTCAGTCTCCTCTTGTGTAAATCCAGAATGAGGATGTCTTTTTAAGAAGGCAGGAGGAGAACTAGTCTAGACTGTACAAATGTATGCTTAGCCCTAGGCTAGACTTCACCAATGTATGCTTAGTCCCATTTATTTTCAGTTACTCTATGCCCTAGAGCTTTCCCGGATATTGTTCTAATAAAAAAAAGTAACGGTTAAATAAACACAGACATGAACTGGAGAGTTGTGTGTTGTGTACCAGCATAAACATGCTGGAGGATTTCACAACCAGATTAACCACCACTCTTACCTTGAGTGTCATGTAGCTACTTGGAAAGATTTATCTGATGGCAAATGGTTTGTTATGAATGGGGTTCACTGACAGGGCTATGACCTCTTGGAAGTAGGTATGATTGGAAGACAGCCAGTGCTCTCCCAACACAGATCCATGTCTCCTCCTGAGTACTGAGCAGAGAGGGGGTTGGGAGGAGTAGAGTGAGA